TTCGTGTCCCGCCGCGCTTCTCCTACCTCCGCTAAATATTAATTTTCCCAGCGTAATTGCCAAATCCGATGATTCTCTCTCATAATTCAGTTTTTGACGTTCCTCACTGAAAAAAAAATATTGGTGTATTCACTGAGAAAAGGGTAAAATTACCAAGAATTCAGGGTTCTAATTGATCCCAGTTTTTTCTTGGTAAAATCACCATTTATGGAATCGGTAATTATATATTATCGGTATATATATATTATTATTATATTATCGGTAAAATTATTGAACTTTCTCGGTAATTTTACTGGACCTTGGTAAAAACACCAATATTTTTTATCGACTGTGGTAGAATTACCGAGAGAAAATGGCAAAGTTACCGGGAATTGATTACCATTAAAAGTGGTGTTCTTACCTGAAAAAAAAAACCAGTAAAAATACCGGTTTTTAGGTAAGCGTACCAGTCTGTCTTGGTTAAATTACCAATAATTGGTGAAAAAAGTGAGATGGTAAAGGTACCAACGGACCTTGGTAAAAACGCCGAGAATTTTTTTTCAGTGCATTAAAAAAAATTTCACCAAAACAGTCGTCAAATTTTTATCGACTCTTGGTGATGATCGAGCCGAGACGATTTTAAAAAAAATGTATTACAAAAGTTCTTCGGTTTATGTTATACTGGCATTTCGGCTGAGAGCCATCTTCAGGGTGTTGTTGAACAATCATACATTACTAGACCAAAGAATGTAAATGGAACATAACAGCAAAAAATATACGTAGTATACATAGTATACATCACATGGTACATAATAGTAGACATGTGAAATTGAACCAGGAAACTAATAGATGATGCTGGCCTTCTTTGGCTTCTTTGAACTTTCCAAGCAGAGGTATCTTATGCATAAAAAATCAGATCATAACTGGTCCTCAAAATACACAACAACAAAATTTAGATTTTGAACTTAATGGTCGTGAAAAAGTTTAAAAATTTCGGTTGCAACCCGGGGATCATCGGAGATACGCTGTTTGTGTCCCTGTTGACTGTCGAAGAACAAGTCTGTGGGCGGAGGTCCTTAAGGGCAAAACAGCCCATAATTACATATTTGGCGGTGAAGGGTAATAAATCACAGGAACTGCAGATAAAGACAAGTAGATCAAAAGAGTGAACTAATATGAAATAGTCCCGTAAAATAACTTTGATTATTGAAGGTATGTCGTATCCATGTCTTTATCGCTGTCGGTTGATGAATTTCCTTTGAAAAAAAAGAGATTTCCTGGAAAAATTTTGAAAATTTTTCTCCCAATTTTTCAGCGCAGTTATTTGCTAGGACGTTGGAAAAGTTTCGGTTCCCTTTTGGTAATGACTATAATATTGTATTTTCAATTGGTCGCGCAATTGTAATGGAATAAGTGAATTAAGGGTATGAGAATGGAATTACTTAAATGAAAAATTTTCTTTCATTGTGGTTTGACGCAATTTTTTGAACTGCCTTTGGTGCAGGGGAAAACAATTCCGTAAAGAACAGTATCGTTCATTCCTGACAAAGAATGTAAAGTCAACATTTTCCTAATCAAGTCACCGTCGGTGTGGGGACAATACATTGATAATTTCTCAAGTGTAAGTACACAGGTAGAAACATTTCGAATCCGAATACAGCCAATCGGCGGACGCAACTTAATTAACATCGATGTGGGGTCGGGTTGCGTCGTCAAATTTGAAGGCGAACTAGCAGCGATTCAACGCTTTGCATCGCTCCAACTGACACGGTGCGGCTTATTTCTCCGCTAAAATAAAAAAAAAAAGTTAGGAAAGTTTAGCTCCCCGCTTTCCAGCAGGTGCCAATACCCAAGAATTAATCACCTAACTTTAATTTGGATGGGACTATCTCATTTGTCTTTTCGAATTGAAGCTTCCTGTCACTTTCTGTTACTGGTTTTATTTCTGCCCAGAGGACCTCCCTTCACCCAAAAGACCCATTTCTCGCCCGAAAGTCCTGCACAAGGCACATGCACTCAGTGCATCTCTGCTTATGACTAACGTGTATGAATTACATTTGCGACTGTTGTACAATGGTTAGCAAGTTATTCTGTGCTATTGTGAAATTATGACCCCTTCCTCCCCTGGTCCTGAGCCAAGTCGTCAAAGCGCTGAACTTGAGATGTGTATCCAAGAGAATAATTTCATTGCCAAAAGTATCTCAAGGAGGAATGGAAAAAAATAAGCTCAAATTTTGGTTGCCCTAAAAAGGGTCGTTTTAAATTAGAGTGACAGTAACTGGTAATTATTGTTTTCTTCGTCCATCGGGGGCAGAAACTCAACTCCAAAGCTACGACCGTCTTCTTTCTAAAAAGTCACAAGGTTCTCGTCCATGACTTTGTCTTCAGTGTAATCATCAGTGCCGGACCAGTCAGAGATTCGTCATCGTCATTATCATCAGCGCCGAAATGAATCAAAAACTGGTCAACCTCCACATCCGCAAGTCCTTCTTGTGCTCATGTCGCTCAAACAACTTTTTTGACGTGCTCGACATAAGATTTCCAGTCGTCCGTAGACAACTTTTCAACCGCTCCCAGGAACAGCTCTATAACATCTTCAAGGTTTTGGGTTGTCTTACGTTTTTGGACGTAATCTTTCAACCATGCCCATACCATTTCAATGGCGTTGAAATGGCCATAGCAGGGCGGTATGCGGAGAACGTCCGGAGGAACCATTTCACAAACATGTCCGAGTTCATTTCCTCGTGATGGTCAACAGTCTTTTTAGAGGAAAAAATTAATGGGGGTGCAGAAATCCATCCTGAATTTCCTCCAGCATGGCGAATTATTAATCATTCTCCTTCGCCCAATGTGGGGTCGCTAATGTGAGCCTTTACGGTCCCATCAGATATGCCACGAGTTGGACATGTGTTTTTGTTCAGCCATGTTTCGTCTAAGATAAGATAATATAAGATATTTATTCAAAGTGTAAAACATAAAATAAAATAAAACATTAATCTGCCCGGCAAATTGGGATACCCAATTATTCTGTCAGATCAGACATTAAATCAAATTCAATCAATAATAATACAAGAAGAACAAAGTAATAAAAGAATTACGTAAACATACATTAGAACTAGAGCAGGACGCAATCATAATAAATATTAATTTAGTACAAAAAATGAGAAAAAATAAGTTATGTAGCAAGGAATGGTGCCGCCCTGCGCCGGACTGGCACACTCGCGGGGACCTGCATGCTGGCAGGCGGTGAGAGCCGAAGCAATACTAATTTTTACAGTGAGTTTCTGATGAAATCTACTCTTTGGCAAAAAATCCGAGGCCCCCACATGCTCATTGCCATGAAAACAATTTTTCTAGTGTATGATCACAGCTCGTCCTCACAAAAAGCTCTGCCGGGAATTCAGGAATATCTTGGATACACTATCTCTCCAGATTCGGACCTTGGATATCTTACAAAGATTATTTGGTCTTTTTCGAAGTCAATTATTTTGTGAGTGAATGATTCCTCTCTTTCCCAATCATTTCATAAAAATGTTTTCTCATCTAGATAACTGGAATTCATTTATTATACCTAAATTTAACAAACAAGAATTCTTTGCCGCAGGGGTACAAGAAGTTCTTAGCCTCCCCATTTTTATAGTTTGTCCGTTGTCCGAGCAACATAGCCAACCAATCATTTAGCTTCATGTTATCTTATATAGTCTGGTCTTGCTCAGCAGACAAACACATTATTTCGATAATCTGTTCGTAGGATTACTTGAATAAGTTGGTATTATCAATAGTTTTATCCTCATCTTAGGAATACTTCTGTAAGCAAGTGATCACTTCAAGAGAAAAAATGTTTCTGTCTTTACCGAAGTCTCTAAGTAACTTTTCAAATCAATGCAAATATTTTTTTATTTTGTTCATAATTGCTTTTCCACTGAGCTCCACAAAAACCATCCATAATGCAAAGCTGAAAATCTTCTATTAATATTTCCTCCTTTTCCTTCTTTTTTTACAGACTACAAATATGTTACAAATGTATTGTATGTACCAACCGCGCCGGTTGGTCGTAGCGAGCGGGAATAGGACGAGATGGGAGGTTGGGTAGCCGGTTAAGTACTGGGTGTTGTGTGCCAGCAAGTTTTCTTTTTCTTTCTCGGGTAAGACAGTTCCCCGGGCCCGTTATCCATGGCCAGCCCTCCGGGACTGGCTCTACTGAGCTCGCGGACTTTGAATAGAGTATTGGCCCGGCCGGATTAACATGATCTCTTTGGTCCTCTTCGACTTCAAACTGTACCTTAGCTGAGAAAATACAAACCGAAATTAAGAGAATAGCCTCTCGACCCTGACTAATCAAATTCCTAGTTAAAGGGCTTTTCGCAATTAAGAAAGAGAAGTACTCTAGTAGAGGCTGTTCTATCGACAGTTGCGAGGTTCGCATAGACGTGTCGACGCCGTATCCTGGGGCGGTTCCAGGACCTCCGGCGGCTCCGGCCCTCCCCACGGATTCACCTGAAAACTCGGATCTGTGGCGTTCTCGTTATCATCGTCTAATGTTACAACAACGGTGTTGAAGGGGGCGGGCTGGTTTGAACCCCGCAATCCCTGTTGAGGCATCGTGGGTACCCGTCGTTAGTCACCGATGTATATTTAGGACCATTGACGCCAGGCGCTGCTGCTGGTGAGAAAATGTTTTTTTTTTTTTTTTTTAATATAATAATTCATTGGTGACTTTACAACTTGTAACCAATTTTAACAGAAATTGGCACGAAGGCCTATATGTACATTCTAATTATGAACAGAGTGTAAAACATAAGTAAAGATGGTACAAAGTTATTAAAAGAAGAAAATATGTAAAGTGATAAATTAAACTATAATCATACATTAAGTTGGTATTGTATCACCGGAAGCGCCTTGAGGCATTTCTTCGGTGTTTGTTAACAAACAGGTCCTTAACATCTTTTTCCTTATAAGTACTCTTTCTACAAATTGACTGATGGTCTGCCAGTTATTATTAGAAGAGAGCATAAAGTTGACTACGGTGAAGTTTTCTCTTTTCTTGGATTGTTATCCCACGCTTCAACAAACCCACTGTAAGACTCTGGTAAAGTATCAACAATTTGGTCAACAAGACGTTCTTCTTTGTACTCTGGATTCAGGACCTGCAACCTACTATAAACACTTTGCATTTTACTTACATGTTCCATGATAGGAGTACCTCTGACATATTTTAAGTTGTAAAATTCCCTGATAAGTTTGTTTTCACTGTCTATTCCATCGCCGAAAAGTTCCTTAAGTTTAGACCACATTTGTGCCGCTGATGTCATGCCAGTCCTTACATGCATTTTGACAGCCGGTTCCAGAGTTGCAATGATCAGTCTTCGTCCACATGCATCTTTTTTCATCCAGTCTTCTACTTGTTTAGAAGTTTCACCATCACCAGGTTCCGGTTTCACTTTTTTCCCCATCACTACATCGTAGATTCCTTGGGCCTCCATGTATACTTCTACTTCAAATTCCCAGTCTACGTTATTATCTTTTCCGGAAAGTTTCGGTATCAGCGAGTAGCTGGTAAATTCTTTTTCCATTTTGGAAAGATAAAATAGATAGCAAAAAAATAAAAAAATCGTCCGTGAGAACTGAAAAAAAAATTGTCCGCAAGAGATTAGACGTCAATAGTTTCGCAATAAGCACTAGACCGCGTCACAAAAATATTCCGCAAAATTCTCGTGAGGCACTTGACCGCGCCAAAAAGATTTCCCGCAAAAATTCGCGTAAGGCGCTTAACCGCGCCACAAAAATATTCCGCAAAAATTCGCGTAAGGCACTTTACCGCGCCAAAAAGGTTTCCCGCAAAAATTCGCGTGAGGCACTTTACCGCGCCAAAAAGGTTTCTCGCAAAAATTCGCGTAAGGCACTTAACCGCGCCACAAAAATTCCCGCAAAAAAAATTCGCGTAAGTCAGGCACCTGACCGTGCCACAAATTCCATGTTGCACTTGAGCACACGCACAAGAAGCAGAGGGCCCATAACCTGTCGGGGCCAAAAAAAGAGCACTCAAATCTTGAGCTGAATGTGATTTATTGAGCGAAAAACATACTCGGGCATTGCAAAACAACGACTGACTGGGGCAGGATCAGCCCCAGCCGGACCGGACTCTAATCAGTAAATTCTTGCATTCCTCCGCTCCCGTCCTCCATCACCCCATGATGAAGTCATATGTCTAACAGGTGGAGGGTTCTAAGCAATAAGATGTCGTTTTAGCCTATAAGATGTCGTTCTAGCCTATAAGATGTCGTTCTAGCCTATCAGATGTCGTGAGAAAATGTTACAGGAGTTTAAATTACTACACAAGTCGTTGAATATGTAATCTTTAAAAATTTACACAAATTTAAAAACTTTTAAAAACAAACTTAAAATCACTCCTTTGCAAAATTTTTTTTTTATAAATAGGTGCTGCTGGGAAATAGCTCATCCAGGAGGTCATCTGTTGTCCGACTCCTGAACACTCCGTTCCTCGTTCCTGAAGTCCTTCCCCCCCCCCCCCGATTTTTGTCTACTTTCTTCTTGTTCGAACGAACAAAACTTTTCGCTATCAATGAACTCCTTTCAGGTGTATACTTTCCGCTCTTCGTTCTTAATTTTGTGAAGGTTTGACGAAGGGTGCCCACGATAGCAAATTCCGTTGCACCGAGGTAATCCTTCAGGTCCATCTTCACAGCAGCCAGCATAAACTACTAAACCAGGCACAATCACAATTCATAAACGGCGTGCACGTATGTTTGAGCGGGGAGTGGGACGTCAAAGATATAGGCCAGGTTAGTTCCATTGTCATGCGAGAGCGCGATTATGAGTGTGTTTATTCCCAACCGGAACGCCTTCAACTTGTAAATTATGCAATTCGCAGTACGCTTTTTTCCAAACCGTGATTCAAAACACGCTCCGTAGATTTTATCACTATCCAGTGATTTCGTAAACCAGTAACTGTGCAAGTCAGTATGAAATAGTAGAATTACCGCAAAATGGTACAGTCACCGGGACTTGATTACCATTAAAAGTGGTAATCATACCTGAAACAACCAGTAAAAATACAGTTATCGTGGTAGGCCGATGATTCTTTCTTGGTAATATCATTGATAATTGGTAACAGAAATGAGACGGTAAAGTTACCAGCGGACATAGGAAAAAAAACCGAGATTTTTCTGAGTGCACTGATGAGAGATTATTGGGAAATGGGAATAAATGGGAAGACTTAATTTTAGCCATAAGGGTCAATGCGGGGTTCCGGTCTAGAGGGATCACGCCAATTTGTTTCGTATCAGATTTTGCAAAGAATATCAAAGTTTTCGAAGAAGTGAAGAATGTAAACGACACCGTATTCGCGAAAGGAGCGTGAAGAAATCCGAAAGTTATCCCTTTTCAAGACGGAGCAGAGAAGTTGGGATGCAGGAGAGGCGGGTGTCGCGGAGATAGAGAGGAGCCGAGAGGATAAGAATCAAAATGGTGGTAATAATAAAATCATTGGAGCGTGAAACAAGATTATTCGATTACGCCTGAGCCAAGGCTCGACGCACTGTGGCACGAAAGCTCCCGTTTGCTGCGCGAAGACCCGGTTAACTTTAACAAATCAACTTTCCGCGAGTATGACCGCCGGTATCAACCCCGCGGAGTCCTGAATTACAGTAAAAGTTCGTTAAGTCGAACTACGGTTAAGACGAAAATCCGCTTAAGTCGAAATTTTCTTCGGTCCCGCGACGTTGCATATGGAACAACGTTAAAAAAAAACTACGCTTTAGACGAATTCGCGAAATTTTGAGCCGGGTGGAAAGCCGCTTATGTCGAATTTTTTTTTTTTTCGAAAAATCCGGATTTTTACAACGAAAAACACAAAACAGCGATTTTCACGCTGATTTCGAGGTAAGCGGAGAAACGAATAACTCGAATTGCCGCTTAAGTCGAATTTTTCATCGGTCCCCAGACAATTCGACTTAACGAACTTTTACTGTGTTAGCTTTCTTCACACTCAGTGTTTTTGGAAAACGTCAACACTCTTGAAAGAGCTTGACTGCCTCCTTATTTGAGTGAGTTTTGTTGAAAAATCAAATCAAAAATAGATCAAATCTATAGATTCTAGGGAAACTAATCGTACATACGTTGTTTTTGAACCGGGCCGGAATTTATAGGTCCAAATTGCAAAATGCAGTCCATTTGATCCCAACTTTTTCTTGGTAAAATTACCGTTTATGGAATTGGTAATTTTACCGAGAAATCTCGGTAATATTATTAAACTTTCTCGGTAACTTTACTGGACCTTGGTAAAAATGCCAATAGTCATTGACTGTGGTAGAATTGCCGGGATAAAATGGGAAAGTTACCGGGAATTGATTATCAATAAAAGTGGTATTCTTACCTGAAAAAAACCGTAAAAATACCGGTTTTTAGGTAAGCTTACCAGTCTGTCTTGGTTAAATTATCAATAATTGGTAAGAAAAAGTGAGACGGTAAAGGTACCAACGTAAAAACGCCGAGAATTTTTTTTCAGTTTGGACCCCGAATGAGCCTCTCCGCGGCGAACCAGTCTGTCTTGGTAAAATTACCAATAACTGGTAAAAAAAAAGCGAGGTGGTAAAGGTACCAACGGACCGTGGTAAAAGCGCCGAGAATTTTTTTTCAATTTGGACCCCGAATGAGCCTCTCCGCGGCGAATCCAAGCTCTGGCGGCTCCAGCTCCACCGGGCGACGGCAGGTCGGAGGGGGAGGAGGCGGCACCTTGGAGAGGCGTGACTTGCCAACTTGCTCTCATCCCACTATCTCCCGAGCTCCCGCATCCCATACCGGCTCCTCATAAGCTCACCCTACATCCACTCCTCTCCTCCAAGCTCTCCCGATTCCCACTCCTCGCTCTACTCCCTCCGCAGTGACCGCTCAGACCTCAACTCCGTCTCTCATAACCCCCTTTCCTCGATGGCTTGGAGGGGGGTCGCCAAACTTGTGCCCCATTGCCCCCGGCCAGCCCATCGTGCCCTTCCTCGCGGACGATATCTGCGATTATCCTCCGTCGCTCCTCGCTTTTCATGCTCTGACTGAGAGTTGAACCACCCGAACGTGAACTGATGTCGCGACTCTGAGCGGTTTTCGTGATCGTTCCTCCGACACTTCTCGAGGTGATTCGGACCGGTAGTCAAACTTTTATATCTGTTGGAGGTTTGATGTTGAATTTTTGGTTTACTGGGATATTTTCAGATATCATCGTTATAAGCAAATGGCGAACTTCCTTAATGGGCCAGTTGCGCTGGGCACAGAATCGTGGTTTGGATGCTTGATTCTTGTAGATCTGCTAAAGGTGACAAAATTTGTTCAAACAAGCAAACTTTCTACGTTCAGTATTAACCGAGATATTGTCCTTTGAAAAGTCGAGTTGTTGACATCATCCACCGCGGTAGTGACACTCTTGGTTTTTTCCACCTTACTTTCATCGGCTCGATTTGGGGTTTTTGACAATTTACTTTTTATGAGTATCGAAGAGTCAGCCCGATGCCTCAACCCCCAACCTGGAGGATCAGAGTTTGATTTCGGAGTTGCCTCTCCTAGACAGGTTGCTTTCACTGCAGCTAAGAGCCCTGTCCACCCTTCCCTTGGGTGATACCTACGCCTAAAAGCCGGTGACCAACTCCAAGCCCCTTGAGGCAGGGGCTACCAGCTGAGGTCCGCAGGATTTCTAAACCTGTGACAGTTAAGTCCCCCATACGGGTTCATTTGATTCATTTGATTGGGTTCCTCCCGGAAGAAGGCGGCGTGGACGTCCAGTAAAAGGTTGGCGGGAGGGAGTGGAGGGGGAGATCAGACGGTGTAATCTGCCCGATGATTTGTGGGAGGATCGATCCCGATGGCGATTTGGAGTCACAGAGCGCTCTAGTGCGCTGAGGTAGCGGCTTGATATGTATGTACTTTCATCGGTCGGTAAGACGCACATTTGCACTGATTACTCAACGTGAAACTCGGATGAAAGCAAGGTGGAAGAAACAAAGGGTGTCAATACCGCCCTGGATGACGTCAAAAACCCGTCTTTTCAAAGGGCGATAACTCGGCTGATACTGAACGTAGTTCGGCCAGATTTTATTATTTTGAGCTAATCTACAAGGATCAAGCATCAAAACACGACTCGGTGACCAGCGCAACTGACACAGTAACAACCTCGTTTGCCTAGTTATCATCGTTCCCGTATGCACGTGAAAAGTATAGTTACGAAGATATTCAATAATTCTTGATGCGTCAATTCAAACCACCCTCTCATGAAAACTCAATGCTCTACGTGATTCACATCGCGCGCTAAACGTTATCTTGACAGTCTCTGCCATATAAAAATCTGGCTATCTCAATCTTGACGCTTTGGCTCAGCTATAGCAAATTGCTTATAGTTTGAACAACACATGGTGAAAAATGAACATTGCTCGATTGAGAAGATTGCTGAAACCGTTGTAGTGCGCGATTTGACTCACGTAGAGCTTTGAGTTTCTTGTGAGCGGGCAGTTCAAATTCCTTGTAACCAATGTGAAATAAAAATGTTAATAGCTTCGTTAGGAGTTGG